TGGATTGTACTCAATTCCAAGAGCAATCAACTTGGTCAACTCCTGGAATCCAATTTTTTGACTGATTGTTGTCACCTTGTTTTTTTGCACGAAAAACCGCGTCACGTTCGGTGATCCAAGAAATAGGTATGAAGGGAGTAAACCGATGTCATTCGACTTAATATCAATATTGTTCAGAAATGGAAGGTTGTGAAATAGATCGATAGGGAGTTTAGCTATCTGATTTCCGGAAAGAGAGATTGTTTGAAGTTGAACACAATTATCAAACAAACCCTTTTCGAGACTCTTAACAACCGAATGCTGAATGTATATAGATTGTAAGGATACCAACTTAAGAAACCAACTTTTGCGAATGTTAACTAATCCACGATTGTAATCCAGATGCAAAGATTTCAAGTTAACTTGGCTATCAAATATATGATCATCCATCTCAGATGATAATAAACTATTGTAATTCAAATACAATGTTTGTAGCTGAGTGAAGTGCACCAGGCTATCGCCGCTGATGCCAACAATATAATTTTGGTTCATGAATAAATCACCTACATCCACCGGAATCGATGCTGAAGGAATATGAGTATATGGTCTCTTATTGCAGTAAACTTCATGTCGAGAGGATACTGAATGTTTGTCAGAAATTCTGCAGTATGCACAATAGCAACTGTCTGGACAGACTGTGGTGTTTGGTGCCTGTGTTCCGTTGATTTGCAACGGGTTTAACGGGTAGCGGCAAGTTTTTGTCAGCATCAAAGTTGGTGCAGACAACTTTATGTAAAATAATCCAAGTATTATTATTAAACTTAACATGTTGAGTACTTCTAGAACCTTCAAATAGAAATCAGTTATATTAAAACTGAATACGCGATCTTAGCCTATTCAAATTCCAACGAATCCGAATAAAAGTACTGTACTAATTCACTCCTATTTTACAAGGAAACAAATACATGTTATGTACTGTTATTAGTTTAATCTCGACCTTCTTTAATGAAACTGTGCTGATCAAAAAGGAGGAGCTATATAAATTACTTGAGAGTGATCAAAAATAGAAGAAAGGCAGCGAAACAAATCAAGTGTTAGTTGAATTAGTTTCGTTTTTTTCCCCTATTGCACACAATGTATCAGTGTGCACATATAAGCACATATCTATCTATAGCATGTTACCATCTTATTTTTATGTGGGAATTTTACCATCTTATTTTTATGTGATTGTTGTCCCTTATAAACTAATGGAATATGCTGGTAATAAGTGCTTTGAACGGTTCATGAATATATTCACAACTTAGTATTTAGTAGAATTTTAACGTTTGTACAATTTAAATTTAATCCAAAGAGTGAATATTCGTAATCGAAAAAGGAAGTTTTTTTTTTATCTTATCTTATCTTATCTTGAAAATGATAATGGCGAAGAAAAACGATAATTTTTGTTAAGCATCTAGATTTATCATAAAATCAAATACATAAACACATTAATGCTACACGTCAACTGAGATCCTAGGCACATTAAACTGCGCCTAAACACGGGACAAAATTATGTGAACGTATGCAAACTTGCGTCTTTGCGGAACATGCGCGTATTTCTGGCTAATAAATCATATTTTCTGATCAGTTAGAATTTGAAAAACACTCTTCAAAGGTCGATTATTGTTGGATCAAGTGACTCACATGATTATAATTTATGCTCTTGAGGTGTACCGTATAGTTATACAATAAAAGCTTCTACTTAGCCTTCCAGAGAGTCTTCAGTCTTGAGACAAACACAGCTTGCTTGTCTTTGGGAATGAGAACTACCATTAGAAATCAGGGAAAGAATTAGCTACCTCTTTCCCCAGAATATTGCCTCGTAAATGCTCGGAAAAGCCTGTCAAACTCCTATCAGATAAGACTTAGTTCCAAAATCTAAACGTTTGGGCCGAGAGGGATGATTCAGCTTCTTGCGCTTGGGACTGTGGTTCAAATCTAACCAGCTTTGGTTTAATTAGAGTCAGATCGCTATGCTCCTCAAATTATTAGATGGGATACGGGTTAATGTATCCATTCATGGAGGTATCCATTACATATCGGTACTGGCGCTGCACTTCGGCTGCCGTGACCGCCACCAACATGGAATATGACAAAAGAGGAAAAATTTAATCTTAATCTTTAAATCTGTAAGTATTTCTTTGATTATATTTATTAATTATTTATTCAATTTAAGGTTATTGCCTTTACTTCAATTTACAAAGTTATTACAACGTCAACTTCTAAGTTTTGATACAGAGCTTCATATTCCTCAACATGACCTGTTTTAACTTCTGAACCCAGCAGTTAATAGAAGAAACATCATAGGTGGTGAAACTCAACCTTGTAGAACTTACTTATACTGCACTTGGTTATCCGCCGTCGGATGTAGCCCTTTATTTTCTAGAGCTTTGGTTAAAAATAACTAAAACAATAAAAAAAAAATACTAGATAAGGATATATTTCCATTCCAAAAACTAAACGATATCGATTTCCTAGAAACGGTAGATATAAACATTAAAATAACCGAAAGGCATTAATGGAAATCAATGAAATCACTGAAAATATCAGTTTTAATCCGATCACTGAAAAAAATAACCAATATAATAATCAACATTTTTTTAAAGAGTATACTAGTAAGACTTGATACAAATGTAAATATTTTGATTTCGAAGAATTCAATAGCGAGTTCTGTTACCCACAGAGAAACATAAATTACTTGTCAATGTTTCACATAAATTCACGTCGTGAAAAAAAGTAAATATAAAAACATATAAATATATAAATATTGAAGAACTAAAAGAGTACCTTAATTTATTAAAACATACATTTTCTGTCATTGGAATTTCAGAAACATGGTTGAATGAAAATTCACTTACCAAACCTACAAAACTATTATTTCTTTCATGTAAATATAAAAAATATAAAAGGGGTGGTGCAGGCATTTATATACATTAACATATGAACACTATTGAAATAATCGACAGTTAAACCGAAAATAATATCTGTTAAAGTTTATTTATAGAAATTGCTAGTCAAAATTAAAACATAATAATAAGAATAATATACAGAGCATCTTCAACGGTAATCGAAAACATTTTATCTAAAATAAACTTTTAAAAAAAAATGCCATATCATGGGTGACATTACTATTAATCTTATAAATTATGATAACAGCAATAAAGTACAAAACTTATATTATGATTTTAAATTCGTTTAATCCATTGATATTAAAACCCACTTGAATCTCGTCATCCCCAGCGACACTTATTAATAACATTTTCACAAATTAAATTGACACAGAGATTTTAGCAGGCGTTTTAATACAGTAGAACTCCAATTAAGTAGACACCTTCGAGACCAAAAAAATTGTCCGCTTAATAGGGGTGTCCCCTGAATAGGGTACCCTATTTAGGGGACACTGACCAAAAACATCAAATTGTCCCCTTAATAGGGTTTTTGGCTTTTGGCATGTTTTTGTATAATAACGACATAGATTCTTTATAATTTTATTTTAACTGACCTAAGAATAAGTTACAATTTAATTTTACAACTAATTTATAACAATAATTTGCAATGCAAAAAATAATTCATTTAAGATATGAAATTAACAAATATGTAAGTTAAACTACAAAATGTGTGTATGTTCTCGATATTGTTTCTTTATTCGAATGCAATGTTAATATGACCGAAAGGTCCACTGATTAATCTCAGATAAGAAAGTGTAATACATACTCAAAGTATTGCAATACTTGGAGTATGTATTATACTTTCTTATGTTAATATGAATTTTTTAATATTGAGCTTTCTATTGGATGCACAAGATATAATACTATTAATAGAAGTTACCAACTTAGAAATCAGGGTGCCTGCTGTCGGGATAGATTAGAATCCTATATCAAAATACACGTAAGCCTGGTTCTCACGAGAGCCCTAGTATACGGATCGGGAGCAGACCGTTAGCGCTAACCGTTAGCACCTGCGTGAGAACGCCCAATCGGTTAGCGCTAACTGTTAGCAGTATCCGGATACTGCTAACGGTTAGCAAGCGCTATCGGTAAGCAAGTTGAGCACGTTTTTATCATCAACCAATAACAAGTACGCGTTTACAATTTCCACTCTCTCATTGGCCAGTGATTCGATCATCATATTTTTGGTATCCGGATCGGGATTTTCTCGTATGGACTAACGGTGATCCTGCTAACCGTTAGCAGCCGTTTGAGAACATAGCCAAAATAAGAATTCTCCATTAGAACTTGACAAGATTTTATTTATACGAAGGAATACATGCACTAGGCATCCAATGCCCATTTGAAGGATGAAAAAAATTGTTTTGATACATTAAAAAAAAAGTGTCTCCTTAATAGGGGTTAAATTGTATTGATTTGACCTTTTTGCACTCAAAAAGTATCCCGTCCCCTTATGTGGGTGTCCCCTAATATAGGGGTGTCCCAAAGGAGGGGTTGTATTTCATCTAACATTACTGACCACTTACCAATATCAATATTTAAAATCAGTCGTAAAGTACCAAATATTCATAAATAAATATTAGTATACCAATTCAAGAATACCATTAATGATGAACCAATACAAAATATCAAATCTTAAATTAACACTACTGACTGGACCCCAATTTTAACCCAAATATCGCGTATGAACTATTCAATTCAATTTTAAAGAATATTTACCCTACAGAAAATTAAAATAACAAATAACAAAAACACATAATTTTAAACAGCAACGGATGACAAATGGTATCTTAAAATCTAGTAAAACAAAACATAAACTCTATAGAAAAATACCTAAAGAATCGAACAGTAGAAGACAAGCAAATCACGAAAGTATCGAAAACCCCTATTAACCGCGTATGTCGTAATTATTTTAATAAGTTTCCCAGTCAGAAAGAAATATAAGAAAAAATGGGACGTTATAAATTCAGTCATTATGAATGGAACGTGTAAGAAGTCATTCAAACTTATATGCCTGTAACTATTATGCCTGTGTCTGTTAACTATTCTCCGCCAATGCTGACTCCTTGTTTCTTAAGATCAAGATTCCTAAATACATTTTCTAAAATAAAATATTTTGTAAATATGTCTTTTAAGTTTTTCCGAATCAAAAGCCTTTTCGCAGTCTATGTATCCTACACAAAGCTTCAACTTGAATAAATTAATTTTATAGAAATGTAAAAACATTTTTTAACCAAGTCTGGTCTGTTTTTAAGGATGTTAAATACCGTACTCAATATATTTTGCACCTTGGTATAGGAGATAGCCATACATCAATTAAATAATATGTAGTAACCATGTAAGGTGATTTAATTGTTTTGTTTGTCGTTAGATAAAAAATAATGTTTAGATTAAATCTGGACTTCGGCCTACCTAATGTCCCACCTGAAGATGTACACTACCACTCCACAAAAGATCTGCAAATATAAGACCGGTAGAAACTGTGATAGTAAATGTTAGATTTGTGCCACTATCAAGGCAGAGTTAAAATCCGAGATGTTAGTCTCTGCCAATTGGCTTGGTTTGTTGCAGTTGGTTTGATCTATATCTGTAAATTCCACGGACGTCTGATTTTTTTTCCCCGATGAATTGTGCTTTTTCTCCCCGACAGGGTCCCTGGCATTTTGATATTTTCTTTTATATTTTTAACAGATAGTTCCCGCCCACTAAACGCATCACCACGCGATATTTGCGTACCATTCAATATGCGTGTTCTACGACGCGCGCAAGAGTTGTCGTCATGGTGAATGGGAATACTGTCTGTACAGTACTGCAGCAGTCACTAGCTGTGTGTGTAATCTGCGACCTGGTCATCACCTAGGCCTACCTACAAGTGAGTACTACTGTACAAAGATACATAATTAATTGATCGTAATTAAGTTTAAAAACTCATGACGCAGGGAGTAAAGAGAGTTTCTTTGACATCGTGGACTTGCGTCGCATTATCCTGTTTCATCGGGGTGATAGCTTGCAGTAGTTTAGCACGGCAAATATTCAGTCATAGTGACGACGACGTCGTTGAGGCTGCGTTTAACATTTTGCAAACTTTACCAAGTGACTACAGTGAATGCGGATCAAACTTCACATTGTATCAAATAACCGATGGATCTTCATTCGTCAAAATCACGATTAACAACAACTGCGACCAGACGAAGTTCAAGAGTTGTGAGGTCTTATACGGGAATGAAGCCAAGAACTGGGCACAAGTCCTACAAAGGTATATCATCGACGGCGGAGATGCGATAAACGATACAGTTTCTTTTCCAGCCAACGGACGCGACTTCGATGTCTTATTGCAAGCCTGTCAGCAGATCATGCAGTTAGACGGTGTGATAACGAAACTAGATACCGACGTGAAGTTAAGCAGAAGGACCCGACAATGTACATACGAGCCGACGTAAGTGAGGACCGTTCTCCGGACAAAAAAAAATCTTGGCATTCGCAATTAATTTAATCACCTTAACATCAAACGCGACATTTACATAAAATATCTACAAAAAAAAAATAAATAAATAAACCAAATGTATGTTTTCCCCTCTCTATACGAATTTGATTGTTGGAGCTCCGTGTCAGTAAAATATTTTCGTGTCCGAGGTGTGGATAATGTCCCAACTAAAAAAATGACTGAAACGATATTATTATCGTAAGTATTCAACAACTGTGTCCTTGTTCATCGTCACTGATTTGATATTTTTTCGGTATAGGCCTATGATGATTGGTCGAAGCCTCTTTGAAGCAAGCTTCGTCAATCGTTTAATTTATATTTATTTATAAGGCACCACTTAAACAGTAAAACAGTAGGCCAACACTGGGTTCAGGCTAGGATTCACCCCTCCTCCTCCCCTCCCCCACCCCCACCCCAGAGCTCACGGGCGTTACGCCACTGTAGATATTGCTGCTAAGGTCCCAAGCGCGTCTTCCTGATTTGTCAGTTGTTAAGTGTTGTTTTTTGACATCAAATGCAATGATATAAAATAATTTAAAATGGCAACAGAATTCTGAAACCAGGGGCGGATCCAGAAATGTCCAAAAGGGGGGGGGGCGAAAGTTTGGCCGATTGAGACAACACCGTCGTATGGGGTCCGGAGCATGCCCCCGCGAAATGTGAGACAACACTGTCGTAGGGGGTCTGGGGCATGCCCCCGCGAAATTATTGTGTTCTAGACGCCCGAACATAACATTTGAGGCATTCTGGGCTATCATTTTTTTCTTTTTCTCTCTTTTTTTTTCTTTTTTTTTACCTCCCAAAAGGGGGGCCGCCCCCCCCCCCCCCCAGGGGGGGGGGCCGGGCCGCCCCCCCCCCCCTTAAATCCGCCCCTGGAAACAGTTGATATTCATATGATACATGAATTTTCAATCGCTTAATTTAATTCGCCTAAGTTACTTCGCTTCTTCGTAAAGATCATACGTAATTCGAGGTGTTAACTTTTAAATGTTACAACTTTTACGAACCTCACGATTTTTGTAAAAATAAATGCGTTTAAACCGAAAGGTCCACTGATTAATCTCAGATAAGAAAGTATAATACATACTCCAAGTATTGAAATACACGCCATCGTGTTGGGATTCAATATTTCGACATTAATTATGTCATCATCAGGAATGAATATAAGAGACAGCACTAGTACCAAAAGTGTTTAACCAATCAAAACATTACCTCTAGTAGGTGACATAGCAGTGATTTAAACAAAAGATCAAAGCATTCTTACTCTAATGATCAAAACTACCTACAAAAACAAAGAAAGCTACCTACAAAAACAAAAACAAAAACAAAAAACAAAAGAGCTTTCTTTGTTTTTGTAGGTAGTTTTGATCATTAGAGTAAGAATGCTTTGATCTTTTGTTTAAATCACTGCTATGTCACCTACTAGAGGTAATGTTTTGATTGGTTAAACACTTTTGGTACTAGTGCATATAAGCTTGCTAATATGGATATTTTTTTCATTCCTGATGATGAATTAATGTCATAAATGCGTTTATTCAAGTAAGTAACCATGTTTTGTAACAACTGCGATATAGATGCGATACCCAAACAAGGAATCGTGAAGGTTTCACGTCAAATGACAGGGTGTCTTCGCCACCAGTTTCAAGTGCAGATGAAGCAGTACATTCGAATAAAATAACGTACGATCTGATGTTAAATGGTATTTATCCAGGAACATTGTGGTGTGGTGTTGGAAACATTGCCGATGATGTCTACACTCGATTTGGTAAGAGTTAAAAGGTCGTGATGAAATTATACGTGAAATTTAAGATAAAATCTAAAAGTTCTAGGCCTAGTTCGAATGTTATTATGCATAAAACGTGTTTTAATTTCTTGAATTAAACATGCTTTTCAGGTTTACATCGCAAAGCTGACGAGTGTTGTCGAAATCATGATCTTTGCAAGCCAACGATTCGCAAATTTCAGGGTCGTTATCAACTTTTTAATCCTACTCTACTGCGCATGAGTCACTGCTCATGTGATCGAGAGTTTTACAACTGCTTGAAGCGGGCCAAAACCGAAGCAGCAACCGACATTGGAGATCTTTTCTTCAACAAACTGCGTTTGCAATGCTTTGAGTTCGATTTCATGGATACGTGCACGTGGTACTTATTTGGAATTTGCTTGCGTAGCGAGTTCACGTGTGCTGCTAAAGTTGGTAGGATCACAGATTTTTAAACAAATTACCATGGTGATTGGTTATCAATTTTACTCGTTTGTAAACTTCGAACAAGAATAAATAAGTCAGTCTCGTATGTCATGTCTTACGTTTATTCTGAATAATTTTTATTTAAAAATCGAGGTAAGATAGTAAAACTTGAAAATAAAAGAGAAAATAAGCATTTGCATAAGCATCATTATAATGTTGTACTTCAAACTACAATATAAAATATACTTATAAATATTGTTCACTTTTATTATGATTAATAATCATTATGTACAATATATATGCAATACATAATTGTGACGTTTATAATTTTAAAATACATATTACATTTTGTCATTGAGATAGTACTGTACTCCAAAGTTACATTCAAAATGTAAGAGCATAAGTCGTTTTTCTATTGAAATAAAAAGACGAAAAATCTGTTGTATTAACAAGAGCTAGCATAAGTCGTTTTTCTATTGAAATAAAAAGAGGAAAAATCTGTTGTATTAACAAGAGCTAGCATATATTTTTCAGAAATTGAATGGAACCTGGGATTGGAAAGTAAACATACTGTCTATTGAAATAAAAAGGGGAAAGTTTGATATACAAAATAAGAGCATAGGCTAGTGAAAAGTTTGTTAAACTAACAAGAGCATTAGTCGTTCATTTTAGAGGTTGAAAGACATTGGGATTGGAAAGCAAACACTTTAAAAACTACTACTACTACTACTACTGTACTACTTGTTTACTCCCAACTTTAAATACATACCCACACTAAAAGATCTAAACTCTATAAAAGCAAATGAAGGAATTGATTTTTCTGTAGGCCTAGCCTTTACGCCTAGCGTTTTAGAAATTACGTTTTAAGAACGTTATAATAACGTTACAGTTTGGTGTAAGCACGTATTTTGTAGAACCAAAAGTACATACTTATAACAAAATTTCATAACGTATGAACGTTATTTTGTGACATACATAACGGTCGCGAACGCTATAAGAATGTTTTGTGTTGCTGGGGAATGGGGTCCCTTTTCTTACAAAGTCTAAACTGAGTTCATTATTTGTGACCCTCTAGTCCCGTGGAATGTTGTTGTTTGAACTTCATGAGTACATTTAATTCAGCGTTAAGGCTGCAAATTTTATGAAGTTTTCAACAATAAAGTTCTTAAGTTCTTGGTAAATTTAGGTAATTTCACATGGAATTTGAATTACATAACTTCACCAGGATTTGTTCGTCATTACTCATCTTTTTCTTTTTTATTACACCATATTTATAGAGGGTCACCCAGCTTCCAGCGTATCCTAGAAGGTCGGCCCTCTTAAATAAATGAAATAATGAAATAATATGATGCTTTTTATTAGCGAAGTCTCTTTATTAGGCTTAGTTTAGAAAGTGGAGTTGATTTTTAGTTGCAAGTCCTGGGATTAGAAGGCAAGCATCTTAACCACTAAGGCGAGACTTTTTTTATTCCTTGTTTCGCGTACTTATTTTTTTAAAGATTATCGGAGGAGGGCGGAATAAAAATAAAAATAAAATTTTGTTTTCGTACTTAGCTAATAGTTTTGCCAAAATCATCCAGACAGAGGAGAAAATAAAAATAAATTAAATTGGTGAGATAAAAGAGGATGGTTAAATGCTTCAAGTTTATATAATTAGGAAGAAATATACATAAATATCTTATCTTTGGCGATTTCAAGGCAGTGGAGTGTGTAATCTAAATAAAGAAAAACTTTATTTTTTTCTGAAATTTCCACTTTTTCGTGGCGGAGGGTGCGCTAATTGGCCAAAAATAAAATATCATTTTTATTTGAAATCATCAATATTTGCAGTCGGTGGGTTCGCTAAACAAGGTGTAAAAAATGTCTCGCCTAAGCTATTCAACTCCATTCCAATAGTGGAGCATCCAACCAAATGCTCAATATTTTAAAACAACAATATTTGATCATTCACTGAAGCACTTGAATCATAAACAAGCGTTGTTGATTTAATTCATTTATATTAAGTATCATTTTAATGTATTTTGACTGTACTGAAATTATTGTTAAAAATTACATCTACCTAATATTATTATATATTCTTTTTCTTATATTTTCATTGTGTACATAGGAATTATATCATTTCTGATGTTAAAACTACCAACTTCTTAAGGCCAAAATTGATTGGAAATTGGTTAACCAATTTACATTTTTTTATTATTTTGTAATTCATTATTATGTCAATAAAACTGAAATTCTAAAGAATCTATTTATGTCATTTTTTTCAAGCAGTATAATAGGGGACAAGTTCATGTTTTTTATTAGTTATCTCTCTTTAAAAACACCCCTATCATGGGCACACTATATTAGTCTTGAAGGTGTCCCTATAAATGCCAACTCAGACAGCGGTGGACGACAAAGCCCGATGTGATTTATCTTTATGTTCGTCTTTAGGTTGTGAGAATATTAAACACGTTCAGAATTCTACGGCGAGACTATCCCAACGAAAAACTACCGCCTCAGCGTTTAACTCACACAGACTTGACGCGACAACAAATTGCATCAGGCTACATTGTACGACGCTGGCTGAGTTGGCCTTAATAGGGTTCTACTGCATTTTTAATAAACAAACACAATGGTACTTAATCAAGAAAGACATTTGGCAACAAAAAAATTATCCTGAGATGTGCTCATTCATATTATTATATAACTACATTAGTTTGCAGGCAGTAGACAGTGACGTATCCAGGAGTCTTGAAATTGAGGAGGGGGGCTGATGGGGGACACAAAGTTGAAGTGGGTGGGCCTCACTGATTAGGTAAGGAGGCACTAGCTCACAAAATAAGTTGATATGAGGCTTGAGCATGATTTTATTGCTTCAAACATGTTCAAAGTGGAGATGCAAGACTTTTTAGAGGCCATACACTCCAACACCCCACCCCCAAATGCTCCCCACTGGTAGTAGAGATCAGCTATTACTTGGTTTGGTAACTGCATGAATGTGATTTAGAGTCACAGTCCTCGTATTCTTGTAGTAGAGGGTTATTTAACTGACTCTTTCTTATGCAAGCACAGCGAAAGTCTGTAGATCCTGCTTTATACAACTTCCGGGGTACTCCAACCCAATCCCTGCTAATGCCACCACTGAGAAGATAATTAATATAATTGGTGTTAAGTACAAATCATACTATAGTATTTTTATTATAATGCTTGACATGCTATAGTAAAATCAGTATAGATACATGTCTCTACTTCTACACTTTAGAAATACTAATTCTTTAACCATTATCTGATTCAGATTTTATCTGTTCAACCATGAAGCCTTTGTGGTCTAATGGTTAACATGCTCGCCTTGACAGCGAGAGGTGGCAGGTTCGAATCCCGTTGGAGGAATTTTGTTGCACAATGTATTTATTTACAGGACATTCGTTGAGAGCTATGCTACACGATGTACCATCATGTCCTTTATTTGAACACTGCAGTTTCTTTCTTTGATGATTTATATTTATATAGCGTTTCTGTTGGCTATTTATTTATATATGTATATATGTATATATATATATATGTATATATATATATGTATAAA